TTAGCACTTCCGCCTGGCAGTACTAGGGTCATTGGTGCGAATCCCAACCATGGCACCACCTGCCTGGAGTTTGCATGTTCTCCCTGTGCCTGCGTGGGTTTTCTCCGGGTACTCCGGTTTCCTCCCACACTCCAAAGACATGCTGGTAGGTGAATTGGATGCTGTCTGAATTGGCCCTAGTATGTGTATAAATGAATGTGAGTTAGGGACGTTAGATTGTACACCCCTTGAGGGTTAGGGTCTGATGTGAATGTATATTATATGTATATATAAAGCGCTGCGTAAATTGACGGCGCTATATAAGTACCTGAAATAAATAAAATATACTTTAAAACTGAACACTATGCAAGCTGTATAATACACAGATTAATTATGTATGTGTCAACTGTCTTACCTGGCAAAGACTGAATTCTGTGCAGACACTCATGTTATCCAGGTTTTCCTGCCACACAGCATGGCCAAATCTTGCCCCTCCCTTGATACATGTGCAGGTAAGCAATGCAGACTAGGCTAGGATTTTCCCTAGTCTGTGAATGGACAAGTGCAACTGAGCACCAGCCATAAGGAATAACGACCAACCTAGGTGAATGCTCAGCCCTAGAGAGGGACTCAGACAGAGGACCCCAAATCACAAGGTGTGACCTCAATGTAAAAACAGCTTCAACCTTGGGCAGGACAGGCAGTGAAAAGATGAATTAGTCTGTACTTAGGGTGAAGCATCTGATAAGGCAAGTATTTCTCGCTGACAGGCTTTACTGTGGCTCAGATCTGCTCCATGACATCCATCTATCAAGCTGGGCATGGACACCACAAGCCTGTTCATTCTCTTTCAGGGGAAACATTACAGATTATGTTATCTTTCATTTTCTTAAAACAGACAGCATAGCATGGAGGCAAACCTATGAAATAAATCAAACTATGGCCTCAAACTGAGTTTTGCGTGGGTCTAATAGACAAATACACACTAAATATGCTTCATCACCACAACAACTGAGGATTTCACTGCATACTAAATTGTTTTTAAATGAGCTATGCAGACGAATCACATTTTCCATCATCCAAAACAATCAAACTACATTACAATGGAAAGCAGCAAGAATAATGAGTGCATAGATTTATTCACCCACCCAGTGCAAGGGTTCATACAAGAGATACCCATGTACATGTTAACACCGCATGCCTTAATAGGGAATTCCAGCCCATATCATCCTATCTCATGTTCAATCAATACAAAAATGGCAAAACAACTTACTCGTTTTGAAGAAAGCTAAGCTGTATAGCAAATCACAAACACAAAATAGTGTAGCACAACCCAAATAGATTATAATATCCAAATAAATATCCACACCATAAAATAAAAAGTGATATCCCTATAATGTCAATTCCAGTGCTCCTCGTGGTTCCACCACCAATTAACAGATGGCCACTTACCTCATGTATATGAGCCTTGTATTACTAGTCAGCTCATAAAGCACTTTATCCCTTGTGGGGTAATATACTCCTAGATGTACATAACAAAGGTTTCTTCCTCCATTCCATGGAACACTCAATGGCAAGGATATATATGCAAAAACAAAATGCAGAATATAGTGGAACACTCCCACTGATGAAGTCTCTGCCCTTGACGTAACTTATATGGGGGAGGAGCCTAAGGTGTGACATCATCCCGCAGCCATCTTGCCTTCCTGGCATGTTGCTGGTGTGTGCTACATGCAACTCTCACTGGCATTGGTTTAAGTGCCATACATTGGAAGTGTGATTTTAGCTTTTCTAATAGATTGGAATCCATACAGAGAGTTTATTTTTGCTTATATATCCTTTGCAATTGAGTGAGTGAAGGTTGAAAGTTCTGTCATGTTGCCATGTATCTCTTCTCCTGATAGTGGGGTGGGGTTACAGGACTACAGATACAGAATGCCTGTATTTCATAGTCTGATCAGCCTAAGGCAGTGCTTCTCAAATAGTGGGGCGCGCCCCCCTCCGTCAAGGGGGGCGCGTCGCCGTCCCCCCCCCTTCCGACAGAAGGGACACTAAGTACAGGGGTGGGCAGAGGGCTGCTGTCTCTTACCTGGCTCCCACGATGATCCATCCAGGAAGCGCTGCTCCTTCCGTCACTCTGGCCACTCCCTCACTCCTGCCGCTCGGCTTCGCCTCCTCACCGGTGATTGGCCGCCAGAACTGTAGCTCAGGAAAGGTACACAGGCGGCCAATCACGGGCGAGGAGGCGGAGCCGAGCGGACCCGCGAAAATCGAGTGAGGGAAAAGCCGGTAAGTGTGCAGTGCAGAGGTGCTGCTGCAACCACATATGCTGGCTGCAGCAGCACCATACTGCAACAAGGGTCAGCAAGTGTCATTGGTGTCAGTGGGAGGAATAGTGCCGCATCATTGGTGTCACTGATACTAATGATGGGGCATTATTCCTCCAACTGACACCAACGATGGGGCACTATTCCTCCCCCCTACTGACACCAACGATGGGGCACTATTCCTCCCACTGACAGGGTACTATTCCTCCCACTGACACCAATGTTGGGACACTATTCCTCCCACTGACACCAATGTTGGGACGCTATTCCTCCCACTGACACCAATGATGGGGCGCTATTCCTCCCACTGACACCAATAATGGGGCGCTATTCCTCCCACTGGGACACCAATGTTGGGACACTATTCCTCCCACTGACACCAATGATGGGACGCTATTCCTCCCACTGACACCAATGTTGGGACACTATTCCTCCCACTGACACCAATAATGAGGCACTATTCCTCCCACTGACACCAATGTTGGGACACTATTCCTCCCACTGACACCAATAATGAGGCACTATTCCTCCCACTGACACCAATGATGGGGTGCCAATGATTAGGTCCTAAGTAAATGTTGGTGATCGGTTTGAATTCATTATTATTTATTGATTTTATGTATTTTTTCAGTATCATATGGTTTGACATGTCCAATCAAAAAATGTTTATAGTTTAATTAAGGATTTAATTTTTTTTAAATTTCTAATGCACTTTAAATCTTTTCTGCTACAGTTAATAAAGCTATTCTTTGTTGTAAATTGATCCACATTTCTTTCTTTTTTTATTCTCTTATACGTTAATAAGGATACAGTGTTATGCAGAGGTGTACTTATAACAATTTTATAGACAAATTATACTATTTACAGTCGCGCGGGGGGGGGGGGGGGGGGGCGCGAAATGTTTTCTTCTTCCTAGGGGGGCATGACAGAAAATAATTGAGAAGCACTGGCCTAAGGCAAGATGTGCAGGGTGTGTTCAGGAGGGAGGCAGTGATTGGGAGGGGGTGTGCACCAAAGACAGGCTGTGATTGGTTGGGGGAAGCTTGCTGGTTGAACAAACTATCCAATACAAGCAACCTGCATGCCTGCACAGTGTCCTGTACCTCTGAATGGCCAAAGGATGAAAACTGACCAGTCTAACACAGACATGTGAACACACAGATTAAAAAATTGTTTAGGGTAACATACACTAAAGCCGGGCATAGACAAATCAAAATTTCACCAGTTCAGAAGGAAGTTACTGAATTTCGATCCATCTATGGGTAGGCTGACTGTACAGAAGTCGATCCATCGATTGATTTCGGTACAACCAACCTGTCAGGTTTTTTTCATCCAGTCAATGCTCGTGGCTAATGCTGCCAGCAGCAATAATTGTATTCTGCCAGGGGCAAAGGCTCCACCCTGGCAAAACACAATAGCGCTGTGGGAGGGATTCCCCCATCAACTTAATCAGTGTTGAAGGAATGAAAATTGCATAATGTATGGCCTGCCTCAGTGAATACATCTGGAAAGTCCAACTTCTGGTAAGTCAATCTAGACTATAAAGAGAGAGAATACTCCAAGCAACTTCATGAAACGGGATGTTCTCTGCAGCAGGCCTGGGAAGGCTTGTGACAGTGGAGAGTAGAATAGACAAGAATGGATAAAACACAAAATTGGTAATGTCTTGGGTTTGCCAGGTCAGAACGCACTTGAATAAATAAGATAGGTTAAAAATAAAGACAATCACATGACAGATAATAAGTGTGACAAGTGTCCAAAAAGTCCATCCCCCTGACGATGTCATCTGTGATTAAGCGCGTTGGATGGGGCCTGAGGGATGTCATCTCACACCAGGACTGATTGGAGGACCAAACTAAGGTAGCCCATATGAGCGCTGATGCACACTCTGTATATGTGCGGTATGGCCACTCTCAGCTTTGTCAGACTGTAAGTGTTTAAGCTGTTTTTAGAAATAAATATTTACTCTGTTTTACACTATAGAAGCTCTTCCATTTGTCTTTTGAGGGATATTGCAGCCCAAGTATTTGTGCCAAGGTGATCCATCAGCCGGAGGCTGGCCATAATTAACCCCACACGCACTGACCAACCATTTACATGGTAATGGTCATATCCTTTCTGGTAAGCGGCTGATTTCTCCGGTTCTTTCATGGGTGGATTGGAACAAATTTACACACTGGGTTCTGAGCCTTTTGTGGCATTGTTTGGAGGATTTTATATACTTTGCTTGAGGTGATTGTAGCCGTATTAGTGCACTTGCGACAGAAACAATTGAGTACTGTACGTGATACTTTTTTTATTTGCACGAACATACAATTTTCAGGACAAGTTTTCGGGGTATGTCCCCTTCTTCAAGGTCCAAGCAGTACTATTAGCAGAATATTAACCACCTTCCGCCTGCCCTATAGTAAAATGACGGGAGCAAGGTGGTTCTCTCGTTCTGATAGGATGTCTGACGTCCTACCAGACTCACTGCGTATGCGCGGCTCAGGGAGTGCGCAGCGCGGCAATCGCCGGTGCGCTGTGTCCCTCGGACACAGCGGATCACGGAAAGAGCCGAAGATGTCAGCTCAGTCATGTGATCAGCTGTGTCCAATCACAGCTGATCACATGTAAACACGGAAATGTCGGCTATCGGCATTTCTCTCCTCTCGAGCTGTCACGCTGACAGCTCGAGAGGAGAGGAGAGCCGGTAATCGGCTTTCCGCAGAGGGGACTTGTGCCCTGATGATCAGTGTGGCCCCAGAAGTGCCACCTGTCAGTGCCCATCACTGCCACATCAATGCCACATATCAGTGCATTCCAGTGCACATCAATGCGACATATCAATGCCCATCTGAGCTGCCTTTCAATGTCACCCATCAGTGCCACCTATTAATGCCAATCAGTGCCACCTATCAGTGCTGCCAATAAGTGCCACCTATCAGTGCCAGTCAGTGTTGCCTATCAGTGCGCATCAGTGCCAGTCAGTGCCGCCTAATAGTGCCAGTCAGTGCTGCCTGTCAGTGCCATATATCAGTGTCATGTATCAGTGCTGCCTTTCAGTGCCCATCAGTGATGCCCGTCAATGCCCATCAGTGCAACCTACCAGTGCCTCATCAGTGCCCATCACTGCCACCTATCAGTGTCCATCAGTGCAGCCTATCAGTGCCCATTACTGCAGCCTCATTAGCGCACATCAGTGGAGAAAAATCACTTATTTACAAAAGTGTATAACAAAAACTAAGAAAAAACATTTTTTTTCCCAAAATTTTCAGTGTTTTTTGGTTTGTTTAAGAAAAAATAAAAAACCCAGAGGTGATTAAATACCACCAAAAGAAAGCTCTGTTTAAAAAAAATGATAATTTCATACGGGTATAGTGTTGCATGACTGCGCAATTGTCATTCAAAGTGTGACAGCGCTGAAAGCTGGAAATTGGCCTGGGCAGGAAGGGGGTATAAGTGCCCTGTAGGCTAGCAGTTAAAAGAAACCATCTCTGAGGGGGGGGAAAAAAACACACACAAACAAATGTACACAGCAATGGTTATAAAACTAGGATTAGACTAGAGATAAGACAGAGCAAAAGCAAAGACTGGGGGGGCTAGGTGGTTTGGGACAACACTCACAGAGGGGGTCATAAAACTGTTGGATTATGAGTGAGGAATCCCATGTCCAAATTAAGGCTGTTATCTTTTGTATCAAAAAGAATATTTTTATTTGATACAAAAGAGGTGGCCCTAATTTGGACATGGGATACCTCACTCATTATCCAACAGTTTTGTGACCCCCTTTGTGAGTGTTGTCCCAAAACCACCACCACCACCCCTCCACCCCCTCAGTCTTTGCTTTTGTTCTGTCTTATCTCTAGTCTAATCCTAGTTTTATAACCATTGCTGTGTATATTTGTGTGTTTTTTTTCTGTTTTTTTTCCCCCTCAGAGATTGTTTCTTTTAACACTCTGCTAAAACTTTGTGAAGTAGTACTGCTTGGACCTTGAAGAAGGAGACATACCCTGGAAGCTTGTCTTGAAAATTGTATGTTAGTGCAAGTAAAAAAGTATCACGGACAGTACTCATATACTTTGCTTGAGTTGGACTTTTTTCTTTAACACTTGCACAGAACTTGGAGTTTAGTGTCCGTATCAGTATTCGTGTTAGCAGCTCATTTTTGTGGATATACTTGAGCGCAGATATGTTTTTATTTTTTATTATTGATAATAAGATAAGCTGGCCTGGACTTGAAAAAGGCTGCTTAATCATGATAAATACTCCAAAGAGGAATATGGATACACTGCATTGTCCAAATGTGCAAGACTGATAGAGACATATTTATTTATTTCAGGTACTTATATAGCGCCGTCAATTTACGCAGCGCTTTACATATATATTGTACATTCACATCAGTCCCTAACCCTCAAGGAGCGTACATTCTAAGGTCCCTAACTCACATCCATACATACACATACTAGGGCCAATTTAGACAGGATCCAATTAACCTACCAGCATGTCTTTGGAGTGTGGGAGGAAACTGGAGTACCAAGAGGAAACCCACGCAGGCACAGGGAGAACATGCAAACTCCAGACAGGTGGTGCCGTGGCTGGGATATGAACCAAGGACCTGAGTACTGCCAGGCGGAAGTACTAACCATTTAGCCACTGTGCTGCCCTTATCCACATGGACTGTAATTGCTGCCAAAATGCATTTACTAAACACAAACCTGCAAGGGATGTTTATTTATTCAGTCTGTTAGTTTTTGTTTTCAGTTGTAATGAATTTAAATCAGTTTGCGAGACTGGTTTCCTCTAAAAGAGTATATTCCTGTTGAACAGTGTAGAAAAACCTAAACACATGAAATATTTTGAGGGAGTGAATATGTTTTATAGGCACTGTACAATTAGTACTACAATGTACTTTAGACATTTTCACAATCTCCTAGAATAAAATACCACTTTGTGCTGTGCACACATACACAGAACTCCCCTATGTCAACAGGTCAGCCACTTGTGGGTCTGCAGGACTGCAATTATCTCACCAAGAGAAGACCTAAAACAGCAGAGAAATCTATTTGGAGACATGGACGCAGCCAGCAGGGTCAGGAGACATTGCTGGAGGGAGTGTGGGATAAGGAGATGCTGAGCTGGTCACTGAATGAGCCTGTAACCTGAAACTGCAATGCTCAAAAATCCTACTGCAAGAATCAGAGGGGGGGAAAGTCAAACACAGGTCAATGGCAGCCTGCTTTTCTAGAGAAAATGTCTGCAGAACTCCTGTCTTATACTGAATACTGATCATAAAACAAAAGGAGCCCGGAAATAAGATACATTGCACAATGTGATAGAACACTTATTTAGGCTACAGCATAGTATAAACAACCAAGCTGGAATGGCAGCGCCTACTGCACAGTTTCCAAACCATTAATGCATTTTTTTCCTTTGAGGAAATTACAGATCGGATCCCAGCTAATACTATGGCTCTGATTCAGTAACAGCAGGAACAAGGGTTTCAACAGGTCACTGCTGAAAAGTCACAGTATAACTCTTTAATGTATTTAAATAAATATGGGAAAGAATTAATGGCTAGTTTTAAGAAGAAAAAAAAAAAAAAAAGATTCTCTAAGAAGTAACAGAAGGCTCGCCTCCTACTCCCTTGAAAGCAGTAGGGCTTCTAGTGTTTATGGCGCACTGCTAACAGCTATTTTACCTGCTGCTTGTTGTAATACTACATGTGATCCACCACAGGTGGCATAGTAGGACGGGTTACCATTTTAGCTAGCAGTAATTTTGAAGAGGTGACAATTATAAGGCATGTATTTCACCATGCTGATTTGATGGATAAAGTGCAACATTGTGTGTCATGTGATGTTGATAACACCAAGGTGCTGTTCCTGGATATAGTGAGACACTGTATATCAGAATTTTGAAGGCTCATCTGGTTATTGTCTGTCTCAATATAAGGATATCATTCAGATTTGACTGCGATTATTTTTCACTTTTTATATTTTTATTTTATTGGTGGTGGTCACCAAATAGAAAAAATAAATAAAGTTTGTGAAAATAAATAAAATGGATTTTTACGTAGCACCTTGCATTTCCTATATTTGGAATGCTGGAGAGTAATGATGTAGCAATAAAGAGCTTACAGCAGTCTCTATGCACAGGTATCTTAGATGGATACCAAGAGGAATGGCATGGCTTACTACTCGCCCATTAACACATTTCAGATATTCACCACTCTTTTTTGCAGTGACATGGGGTGGAAGCAGTAAGCACTGTGGGGGGACCCTGAAAGGCAGGGTCACTTCAAAAATTGCATACACTGTTTGGTTGTGTTATATACGTGGACAGGTTATGGAATCACAACATTGGAATGTCTTCCCAAACACTTGAAATCAATGCCTCAGCCCCAAACAAGCCCATCCCCAGCCGCAGCTCAGATCCAGAATCACTAGGGAGCCACTGGTACCTGTTTCCAAAAAACACTGAAGTAATTTTACAGCTCTTAGGATAGCCATAATCTAGTAGAATTTCCTTCAAAAATTTTCATATCAAGAACATTCGATTTTCTAATTGCTAGTGGGCTCAAATCGGTATTCGTTTTACAACGCAGTGATGAGAAAATTCAAAGGAGCAGGATGGAAGATTTTTCTCAAATGAACAAAATTCTAACAGTGTATGTGGTTTTCATTTGATGAAGTCCATTCATTCCAAAACTGATTTTTTTCAAGCTAATACAAGTTTGAAGTACTTTCGGATGACATTTGGCACATCATCGAATGTACTGAGACTTTTCATACAAATGCTCAAAATTCTACTAGTGTATGGCCAGAATTAGTTTATATTTTAGGCAGTAGCAAGAGAGTGCTGGAAAGCTGAATTTATGGGGACGTTGATCCATAAGTTGATATAACTTTGCTGTAATGTATCTAATAATGGGAAAAAGAGGGATGAAAGATGATTATAGGTCATTATCATATGCCGCACTACAATACCCAAACATTAGCTGCATAGGAATTACTGCCAGGTAGACAAACTATTCAATAAGCAAAAAGTTAAGAAGTACAATGTATTCAATATTTAAATAAAAAAACCCTATTTGTTGCTTCAAACATGTGACTGGTCTCTGTCTATTCTTTACAGGGAATATAAAAGTTCATGCCTGTGCCTCAAACCCCTTCAGCAAATGCTTACATACCCTGTCTTCAGAAGACTAGAGATGCACAGAAACATTTTGTAAGTGATAAGGAATATGCTACATGGTGTCACGTTCACCTTCACAAGAAGACATCTGTCTCAGTTTGACATCTCTCTGCTGATACTGTAGCTTCTCAAGTTTCAATCAGTAGAATCATTTTTACCCTTATGTCTCTGCATAGATCAGGATTTCCTTTCATGTACATTAACAAGTTTGTTATCAATCACAATCAAGTTCTAAATTCTATAAACAGCCATTTTTGACTGTGTGCTGCAGCAAGCATTCATTCCCTGGGCAAGATTTTTTTCTGCAAGCCTGTCCTCTGAAAACACTCAATAAATCATCAACGTACAGCAACAAATATGTCCTAATGTCTTCCATCAAATGATCAATTTCAACAGCCTACTACACTGCCGCTTCCTACATAGGATTTAACGACTCCTATATACAGTGCCAAATGACTTCCATTCAATGTGCAATACATGATGATCATCGTAAAGTCAACACCGATACAGGAAAGATGTCCATGTGATAAAACCCCTTAATCATTTCAATGCTGGACCAAAAGTGACAGCGGGTGCTGGGACAAGAACCCACCTGCTGTCACGGGGGCAGGGGGTTAAGGGGAGAGGGGGCAGGAGTTGGAAGATGTTAAATGTTCCTGACTAATACCTGGCACACACAAATAGAAAATTTGGCTGAAAATTTTTTTTTCTCGTGAGACAACAGAATGAACGATTTTCATGTAATTAGTATAGTATTTGTATGAAAAAAATGTGTGAACAAGATCGCGCATGCTCAGAAAAGAAAGAATACATTACAATACACTACATCACTTCTGAATTTGTATTCTGTCTTTTACGAGAATATTCATAGGTTTAGTAACCTATTCGTTTTCAAAATGCCAAAAAAGAAGAAATGGACAATCAATTATCCGATATTCTCATCATGTGTACGAGGCATTAACATGGGTAGAACATATAACATGTTCCAAAGAAGAACTTATCCTTTAAGCCTAGAAAGCACACAACCAGAATATCGGATG